AAAAAAAATTAAAAAAAAAAAATCCCCCTCGGCGGGTTGGGGCCTTTTTTTTTTTTTTTATAATAATTTTTTTTTGCCTGACTTTAAATAAAACCTAGTCTTGGAGGGACATGGAGAAGAGGAGGAAGAGTTAGATTTAGTGTCCTAGCGTTTCATTTCAAGTATTTTTCTTTGTAGTAACTTTTTCTCATGTTTTATATCAATTATGATTTTTATAATTTATATATCGTTTTATTTTGTATGGTTTTGGTATAAATTTATATATTATAATTATAAAAAAACGCCTAGGCCTGATTACTCTTCTAGCCGCTAGGCCCTTGCCTACCGCCTAGCGATTTTCGAACATTGCTATCTACATCTATAAAATTCCTCATTGCACAACATAATTGATACAAAATATTTATTTACTAAAAACCACCCTCAAATCAAATTATTTTTACACTGACAACTGCTTCCAACTGATAATTGATACAAATATTTATTTACTAGCATTACCATTTCCCCTTTTTTTTAAAAAAAAAATCAAATAAACAATCTTTATTACTTCTTTAGAAACAATCAAAATAACATTCAAGAAACAACAAGAAAGACTGGGGAAATGAGGTGTACCTAGGGTGACCTCATAAAACCTTGCCTTGAAAACTCCCAGTGGAGGAAAATTCGGTCAAGGAAAAAGAGTACCACACACCTCCCTCAAAAACACTAAGCATCTTCTTTATTTGCCACCAGCGTAAACTAGCCCAAAATAATTGCTGCCGTTCACGTAAGCTGAAGTGAGCCAAAAGGTGCGCCGCTTCATTCCCTTTGTGAGGTTAATAAAACATTTCACGCACTTGCAAATGCACCAATAGATTCCTCACATCTTCAACCAAACTGTCTAGATTGCTCCAACATTCGCCAAATCCAGTAACAAGTGACAATGCCTTTTGAGAATCAGAAGCCAAAAGAAAATTTGGTTAACCTCTCCACAAAGCCATTAACAAACCTTCCCACATCGCAGCGAGTTCGGTTCCTAGAACTTCAAGTCCAACATGTCCATCACATGCAAAACCAAAATAAAACTCACCATCATGGTTCATTTCCCCTTATTCATATCTTATTAAACTATTTTATATTAATTTCGGCCAAGAAAAACTATTTTCCATTAATACACTCTTTTAACTTGCTTTCTTTTCCGTTTCCCAAAATTAAACGTGGATTTAGAACGTTTAATAACAAAATAAGGAATAAGAGGGCAACTAATTATTGTTTAGTTTACTATTTAATTTTAGAAAATTCATCAAATCATTTTGATAACATTGAATTAGATCTTCAAACATCTATCATTTTGATTTAGAAAACTAAAACATTTTCATTTTACTTTTCATTTTCTGAGTATGACATCCGTTTATTTGAAGGGCTAAAATAAGATAATCGATGTCATATATCTTTATATTTTCAGTTTCATTTCTCAACCGATAAATGATCTTGCATAACATAACACGTAGAAATCTTCAAAAAACTTATGGCACATTGTAGTTGTACTATCGTGTCTATAAGTGGGTCCTTTCAAATTGCAGCATCCCAACATGTCCATGTGTATGTATTAAATGTTGAGATACATATTAACACACCACCAAAGTGCTCTCCAAACTCCATTTCCAATCCACGATGCCAATTGATCCCTGAATACGTATACATGTTAACACAATCAATCATACTTTATAATCTAAAAAAACATAAACCAAAAGTTCCATCAAACCAATTTCACCCATAAACACATGCATATGATGTACATGATAAAATATGAATATGGTTTGAATGTATTAGGTTGGTTTTTATTCTTCTCCATAAGGAGGTATATATAAGAGTTTACATGAGTGCTTTACAAGGAATTAGATACAGTAAAGGATTAGGAAAGTATCTCCTAATTATACAATGATTTGACAACTATATAAAATAGGAAAGTAAATTC